AGTTTGAAACAATAATTTGTTTCAAACTACTGAAAATACAAACATTGCAATTTACAATATTTTTACTTAGCGTTTTTGAGAATGAATTCCCCAAAACACCCCTATATTTAAAAAAAAAAAAAAAATTTACTGTAGAGCCATTTCGACTCCTTGAATAAAGAGAGCCAGTTTCGCGGCTCACTACTTGCCCATCAACGAATGGGCAAGCTTAATTTTTAAATTGGAGCCTTAAGGCTATTTTTATAGGAGCCTCAAGGCTCCCATGTCACTTTTTTCACCAATGTGGGAAAAGTGGCAAAACTAAGGGGAGCCGTACATTCAGCTCCCAATATGGATTTTTTTTTTATTTAAATTTTATTTCTTTTATTAAATTATTAATATTATTTTTTTATTTTTTTTAAAACTATTATTATTATTACTATTATTATTATTATTATTATTATTATTATTATTATTATTATTATTATTATTATTATTATTATACCCTTAAGCTATTTTACATGTTAATCTAAGCAGTTAATTTTTTCAATACCAACCATTGGTATAATTCGGTGGTTAAATCCGCTAATATAATCCACTAACGCTGACATGTAACTGCTGATTGTCAAACAAGGACATTGTGAGTTAGTTTCTCACTTCAATTTGTTGTGTGATTTGAATACTCTCTTTGATATTAATAAAATACTTGGTAAATAAATATATAGCATTATTTTGTATTATAACTTTGATATTTAATTAAAAAATAATGCACAAAAAGATAATAGACAATGTAGTAAATATAATCAATTGATAAATTTGAATGTAAAGAATATTTTTTACATTGGAGAAAAATAAAGATAATATAACTAAAGAAATTATTTTCTTAATTAGTTTATTGGTAATGAATAATTTTATTTTATTTTTTGAATAAAGACATTGTAGGGATAATGTAGCGAAAATAATCAATTGATGAATTTGAATGTAAAGAATTTTTATATTGGAGAAAAATAAAGACAATATAACTAATTAAATTATTTCTCTTATTTAATTTATTGATAATGAATAAATTTTTTTGAATAAAGGCATTGTATACACATAATTCTAAATTAAAGAAATTCATATTTATTATATGTTATTGTAGCTAGTAAATTATTATTTATTTAATTTAATAAGAGTAAAATAGAGTACTAATAATGCCAACTTTGATTGTGATGGGGTTCAAACCTAAGACCTCTCTTAGTGAAATCAATAAGTAAGTTAACGGTGAACTAACAGAAATTAATGGATCTTTCAAAAAAAAAAAAAAAACAAATAGAAATTAACGGAGAAGATAATATTTAACGGAAAAGTTAACGGATAATCATATATTAAGGATAAATTATGAAATGTCAAGAAAAAAAATTAAAATTTGATCAATCTGAGCCATTCATTTAATTAAAAAATTTGACCGTCATTTTTTCTGCCCGTTATAGGCCTAACTTTCTTTGGCTCTTATTAGCATATATATATATATATATATATATATATATATATATAGTAGATATTCAAACCTAAAGAGTCCAAATTAATTAACATATTGGGTTGCATAGAAGGCCCATTTCTGGCTATTTTCTATGAACAATTATAGCCCTTCAGCGACAATATTGGGCTAGTTTAGGCTGAACACGTTCTGGGCCTCATATGACTATTGCTGGCTTAAAAGCCCATTATCTGGCTACCCAGCAAATCAGCAATTATCAATCGTTATATCCTACACCACGGCGCACATAGCACTATGCGCCGCGCGCCTCTCAAAACGACGTCGTTTTGGGGTAGTGTTGGGAGGCGCGGTAGGAAGTTGCTGGAGATTATGTGTATTTGTTCACAACGTTATGTGTATTTGTTCACAACGTTATGTGTATTGGTTCATACAGTTATGTGTATTTTTTATACAATTATGTACATTCTTTTTATACAATTATGTACATCCGAATCAGAAAATTTGTGTGTATTATGTTAAGAGTTGATGTGTATTATGTTAAAAGTTTATGTTTATTATGTATTATGTTAGATTATGTGTATTATCTTTTAAAAAGAGTATGTATATTTTGTTATATAATTATGTACATTCATGTATAACATTATGTGTATTCTAGTATAACATTATGTACATTCTTGAACAGCGGGTTTTTTTTTTTTTAAAGAAAAAACTACTGCCATTCACTGGGGCGGGAAATTTCAAAAAAAAAAAAAAAAAAATTAAAACGACGTCGTTTTGCATCTGGGCGCATAGTGCAACGCGCGCCGTGGTGTAGGATATAAATTGCCGCAATTATACCGTGGATTATGGTCCAAAAACGATGCTATTTCTTTAAGTAAAGAAACGGTTATCGTTACAACTTAACGGAGCACATATTTTTGGGGCAAATTATGCTGTGCATCCGTATGCATCATGCATGGTGCATAGGGATGCCAAAACGACGTCGTTTTAATAAAACGCGCGTCTCCCCTTAAAAAAAAATCAGGTTCGATTCCCAGCAACAACATATGAACTAAAATTTCATAATCGATGAACTATAATTTCATAATCGATGAACTATAATTCCATAATCTAATCTATGAACTAAAAATTCTAGAATGAATGAACTAAAATTCCATAATCTATAAACTAAAATTTCAGAATCGATGAACTACAATTCCATAATCGATGAACTATAATTCCATAATCAATGAACTATAATTTCATAATCTATGAACTAAAATTCCAGAATGAATGAACAATATAATGTTGTTGCTGGGAATCGAACCTGAATTTTTTTTAAAGGGGAGACGCGCGTTTTTTAATAAAACGACGTCGTTTTGGCATCGTATGCACCATGCATGGTGCATACGGATGCACAGCATAACGATTGTATTTTTGGTGTGTTAAATACAAAATGAAATTAAAGTGTAATTAAAATGAAACCGTCTCACCAGGACTATGTGGTCCAATGGTACCCAGGTTGGACTTCCATTTGGAAGGTTGTGAGTTCGAGCCTCAATGGAGGTGTTATTAGCTCTTTGTGTTTCAGTAGGTTGAGAAAGTATATGAACAGATACTACAATGTAATAGAGCTAGTAGCATTCAAAAAAAAAAAAAAAAAATGAAACCGTCTCACATATTGTTTTTATATCATCAAATGAAAGTGTAACTGAATTGAAATGAAATTGTAGTTGTCTCGAAATGAAACTGCAGTGTATATAAAATGAAACTGAATAATAGTTTTACATAATTGAGTGTACATTGTCCAATGAAATTGTAGTTATATCAAAATGATATTATAGTCGCGTTGTAATGAAACTATAGTATATATAAAATGAAACTAAATAACAGTTTCCCATATTTGAGTGTATAATGTCGAATGAAATTGCAGTTATATCGAAATGAAACTGTAGTTGTGTTGAAATGAAACTGCATAATAGTTTCACATATTTGAGCGTATATTGTTTAATGAAACTGTAGTTATATCGAAATGATATTGTAGTTGTGTTGTAAAGAAACTGTAGTGTAAATAAAATGAAACTGAATAACAGTTTCACATATTTAAGTGTATAATGTCGAATGAAATTGTAGTTATATCGAAATGAAACTGTAATTATGTTGAAATGAAATTGCAGTGTATATAAAATGAAACTGTAAATGTTATACAAACAGAGGCTACTTATGCAGAACGGTGCGGAACATGTGCCGTTTCTTTTCATTAAAAGAAACTGCACCGTTTTAAAGCCTGGACCACATGCATTGTGGATCGCGGTCCACAGTATAATTTGCTCTGGCTACCTATCCATGGAATAATGATTGATTATACTATTGACCCTGATTGCAGTAGGTGCTAGGCGCTAGTCGGACAGTAGAGTAGTGCTTAGCGCTTAGACGGCTAACTAAAAGAAAACAATGCATGTGTGTGGGTGTATGTCATATTATATACATATATATATAATGAAAAAAATTAACAAGGCCGAGTTGATTGAGTTAACTTGGCTAACACGGTCAAATTAGACAAGTTAACTCGGTCGAGTTCGCCTGTAACTCTGTTTACTTCACCGAGTTAGGCGCCTATGCGTCCGTCTAGGGGGAAAATTGCCACGACTTAGGGGCACCTAGTGCCTAGACGGCATCTAAAGGACCGCCTATGCCGATTTTTGCAACAGTGCCATTGACCAAGATTTACTTTAACATATAAACTTACGTACCTTAAACTATAAAATTAAGTACCTTAAATTTTAAACTTACATAAAAGCTTTTGGATTTAAACTATAAATTTATGCACCTTAAGTTTTGAATTTAAATCACGTTAAATTTTAAATTTACACACTTTAAGTTGTGACTTTTCACAAAATGACCTGCCAATCACATTTTTTATTTTAAAGTTGTTGTTCATTTTGAGCATTTATTTTAAGAATTAATTTCACTTTTGGTCCCACGACTTTTGAGTTCTTATCACTTTTGGTGCACAACTTTAAATTTTTTCAATTTTGGTGCCTAACTTTGTTATTTTTATCAGTTTAGGTCCTTCTAGCCAAATTGAAGGTAAAATATTTCCAGATTTTTTATTTTAGGGGCAAAATCGTCATCCCATGGAAAGATCTTCAATATTTAAACAAAAGAAAAATCATATTAAGAGGAAAAGAAGAGTTTGCCAATGGTCGAAACTATAAATCCCATAGATCTGTCTGGTTTCTGCCCATCTTCCCCATTATTCTCATCATCAAACACCTATAGATATGATTTTACGGTGATTTTGTTTAGATATTGAAGATATTTCCTTGGGATGACGATTTTACCCCTAACAATATAAAATCCAACAACATTTCACAGTCAATTTGGCCGAAAGGACCAAAATTGATAAAAATAACAAAGTTAGGCACCAAAATTAAAAAATTTTAAAGTTGTGCACCAAAAGTGATAGAACATCAAAAGTCGTGGGACCAAAAGTGAAATTAATTCTTTATTTTAACAAAATCAAAGTTTGTGATTAATTTGCACGTTTTCTCTATATAAATAGAGAGACAGGGGTTCAAATGATCCGTTATAGCATACCGAAGTCCGAATCTTCGTTTTCAAATCTGATTGAAATTTATTCTGCCATTGTATTTATTCGGAGCATCAGAGAGATGAGTAGCAGTAACAATTCACTGACGTCGTCGCCGGCGAGGTCTTCCATATCTACGACGGCGATTGTCGGTGCTAACGCCACTGCAGCGGCGTCTCTGGCTGTCGACGACTACCACTTCCCCGCCGATCTTATATCAATTCAAGATCGAAAGGACGAGGCTCTTCAAGGTCAGTTTGTTGTATCCCCATTTTGGATTATTTTATTTTCTTCGTCATCCAAAGATTCGGAAATTTTATTTTAAATGCGTTTCATAGCTTGTTTCTTTACAAATAATGTTTAAAATATGAATATTTGTATAAGAAATTTCCATTTTTTCTCGTTATTCCTTAGTTTCTGGACAATTTTCGTCTTTATAATAGTTGTGATACTACAGCTGGTCTGCTCTACTGGAAAGTTTGAAAGTTATGATCACACATATACAGAAAGTTGGACATTAACCCAACAGGGTAGCTTAAGTGGCAAATGGTTAATATTAAAATATTAAATATTAACCTAAAAAACATCTAGGTTTGAACAATTTAGGGTTATTTTGTTCAAAAATATATTGTTTTGAGTGAAATAACTCATTTAAAAAAAAAAAGAGAACAATAGCTAATCGGCCAACTAGGCGACCTAGTAGGTGCCTAGAAGAGTAGGAGGCCTAGTCAGTGCCTAGGAAGTCTAGGCGGTCAGCGCCTTGCTTAGACGGCCTAGTTGGCCAGCCGCCTAGACCACCGATTATGGTGATACGCTAGGCGGCCGGCCAGGGCCTAGCGCCTAGGCGCCGATTAATCGGTGCCTAGGCGGGATTTTTGCAACACTTATTAAAATTGATACTCCTGTTTGGAATTAATTCCATGAATTGGACTATTGGTGTGATTAGATTAGAGTAAATTGCAATCTTGAATAAGGTTTATTGTGCTTAAGGGATCAAGATAAGTAATCAAGTGGAAATCATTAACCACAGTCATACGAGAACTTTTCCTTCTTAATGTGCATTGCAGTGGATGCTGTACAATCCAATAAGTTTACGAAGCTAATTGTAACAATCAAAAGAAGTGGTTGAACACCTGCCAAACTGTAGTGATTACAAAATATAGGTTTTGGAGTGTAAAGAGTGCAAAACAAATTGCAGAACACAAAGTTAGCTTGTAGATGATACTGGTATGGTGAGAGTTCTATGTTGTGATTCAAGAATTTCTTGATAAAGGGCTGAGGGCTCAGTGTTATCCCACTTTGTAGATTAGTCTTGTGACTCTTTCTGTGTTTCAAGAGGGCCAAGTCTATTCCCCTGAGAGAAATTCGTTGGCACTTTCATTCTGAGCATTGGAATTTTTGGTTAGGTGATATTAGCTGCTGTTATGGTTTTTGCTAAGGTATAGTAGCATTTCTACATTCATAATCCAATTCATTTCATGTTTAAGGATTTTGCTAGTAAAGCTCATCCTCCTTCACATGTTGTTTTCTTCTAAATTCAGTTTCCACTTTTCATAACTTTCACTAGCATAGTAGCATATAGTTTAACAAAGTACAAACAAAGTTGATTGCTTCAAATTTGGAATGTATAATATTTGTTTCACACTTAATGAGGAACACTATTATCCACACTTTGATACAAACTTACTACTTACAAAAATTATAACTTCAGATATAATTAACCTCTTGGCAACACTAAACAGTTCTGCTTCTTGTATACATGTCTCTGGGTGTGTTGCATAGGGGGATTAAGGGCTTGTTGAGGTTAGTGCTTTTCATATATGAGTGTTCCTATTTTACTATGTAAACTTTTGTAAAATAAGTGGTATTAGAATAATTATAGCATTCCTACGTCAAGTTTGTGAAAGTAGCCTAAACTGAAGATCAGTGATTGTAGTGGTAATAGTATTATAGTTGCTTCATAAGGTCAGTCTCTATGTAGTTTAGGAATGTTTCAAGTATTCAGTATTCTAGCAAAGTTATCATCCTTATGATGGTCACTAATACATTATACATCTATGATTTCTCAATGTTCTAGCCAGTGAGGATTTATTGATGATTTGGTCATCTGTATCCTTTCTCAGTTAAATTTTAAATTTCAGATTGTAATGCTCTAGATACTTAAAAATTTATTACCCTTTCTTTTTTAATAGAGATGGCTAATTAGCCCTTTACTTTTTGTTCTTTGGCAATTTAAAAGGAAATCCATAAAGCAAAAGATGCATGTCACTGTTGCTTTGGAATCTTTGAAGAAATCATGTTTTCTTTCACTCAGCAGGGAACTATTATTGACATATTATATTACTTGGTTATGTCTTCAGTTCTCAAATCTGATGTGATGGCTGCACTCAATAAAGTGGTTAAATCCCTAGATGAAGATAGTTGGATGTTTGATGGGCCGCGGTCTCGTATTCACCTTATTTCAAGACCAGGTACCTACCCAATCTCACGTCTGTGTCTTGGTACAACTTGGATCCTGCAAGCCTCATAGTTTTTCGTGACTTTTTTGTTTTCTGGATCAATGTGTGATTCTGGGATCTGAAATATCCAAATGTTACTGCATGTTAATTTGGAAGCAATATTCTGATAGAGTGATAGATCTTTGTTTTACCATTGTTCTGTTTGATGTCCAACTCATATACTACTCGAACCGGGAGTCATAGGCTTATGTTGCTAGACTAGACAACTTATTTCTGGTTTTTGGTGCACAAAAGTGAATAGTCTTATTGATATGTATATGGGTTAACTGTTGACAGGTAGTTTTCTTCAGAAGCGGATAGATATAGCAAAAGAGCAGACTTTGGCACCACCAAAATGATGGAAAAGAGCCTCATAAGCAAGATAATTATTTCCCTTTTTATGGAATTTAATCTCTTTTAGTTCTGTTTTTGGCCTGCTTCTATTATTTTTTGTATTTTTACTGCTGCTATGGATGACATACACTTTGATGTCAATCAAGCTTTGTGCAGATAAACATGAGGATTATATAGGACTAGCTAAACATGAAGTTCTTGAGTTTGGGTTGAGTTTCTTGTGCGCAAAAGTTTACAGTGTTGTTGAGTCTCGAAGTTGATTGGTTCAACTGTTATTACCATGAATCAGTCCAAAATGATATTTAGATACATAATATGAATGTCATTTGGACCCGGGTTTACAAGAAAAATTAAAGAATTGAAGCGGGATGTCGTCTAATCATCTCTCATGATATGGCGGCAGTTTGGTTTTGAGAAATGATAAATTAGAACCGGAACCTTTCAAGGTTTTAGGGTTTGAACTGTTGGTAGACTAATCAAAACAAAATTAATTAATTCATCTTCCAAACATCACAATATTTAGTCACAAAAGGATGATTCAGAAGCTCTTCCACAGTAGCTCTGCTTCTCCAATCCTTAACCAAACATCTCATGATGAAACCCTGAAGCTCCGGCGAAGCGTTTTCCGGCGGCCTCATAGTGTCGCCGCCGAATGACACTGCACAAACCATTGATGCCCAATCTGGCTTGTGCCCTTCATCCAGCAGTGGAAAATGCCCAAGAAAGCATTCCATCACCACCACTCCCACCGCCCACACGTCGCCGGAAAACCCTGCAGATGATCCCTCCGGCCACCTCCCCGGATCAAGGCGTTCAGGGCTCATATATGCACAAGTCCCCATACTTGATGATTCAAATTCTTCATCTGAAACTCTGCTCACCCCAAAATCTGCAATCTTCACTTCCCATTCACTGTTTATCAGCAAATTTGATGGCTTAATATCCCCATGCACTATATTCATCCCATGCAAATACTTTAGCCCTTTCAAAACCCTTCTTGCTAGGTAACCAATCACACCCTCACCTAACCTCCCTCTTTTTTCCAACACTTCCCGAACTGACCCTTCTCTCATGTACTCCATCACCAAGAACACATCCCCAACAGGGACAGAACAGTCATTTCCCACCACTACTTCTGCATTAATGCCATGACACTCCACTAAAAACTCACACTCCACCCTTCTCACTACATCCACCTCCCTCATCCCACTCTCACCACACCGGAGGATTTTCACGGCGTAAATCTCCCCGGTTTGCCTGCACCGGACTTTGTACACCACTCCCCCACTGCCATGGCCGAGAACCTGAAGCTTCTCAAACTCCGACAGGCTACCAGTGCCCGGAGAACTCGAAGAAGATATCGAAGAGGGTGGTGATGATAAAAGTTGGCACCAAGTATCAGCAGCAGGTGAGATATGAGGTAAAGATAGGCTCAATGGCTGCTTCTGCCTTCTCTCTCTCACCAGAGTCATTTAGACATACATATATACATGATTGATTGTATGTCTTAATCAATTTCAAAGTAGAATGGGTGGTTTCCAGTGTTTTTCTAAGCACAAGTATCTTATTGTCCTTCTATGGTACACTAGTGGCAGGTGAGGATTTTGTGGTGACAACAGATACCATTTGTGGTTGAGAGTATAATTAGATTTACTGGTGAGTTTAAACATCACAAAATGTGTTTAACATTGTTAATTTTCATAAATAAATAAAATAAAGATACAAGAACAATAATTAACAACAATATCTAATCTAAATATTATAAAAGATTCGATAATGGTAAGAATATAATATGAATAAAAAATGTGTGGATATAATAATAACTTAGAGAAAATTTCAATTTTGATCATATGACTATAGGGGCTTTGTTAATTTTAACACCTGATTTTTAAAAGTGTCAATTTAGTACCTTGAGTATGTAATTTTTGTCAATTTTGATCACTCCGGCCAAATCGCCAGCCAAATTTGACCGGAAAAATTTAATCCTTTGTTAAGTCTATAATTTGAGGGGCAAAATAGTCTTTTCCAGTCTGGTTCGAATTAAGCATAGTATAACCCGGTTTAGCGTGAGAGTTTTGCAAGAACCGCTAATGCAATTCCGGCGACCAGCACCGCCTTTGCTTTCTTTGGGACTGACTTTCGTTATCTTCTTTCTTACTTGAATGGATGGAACGCTCTACCACTCCCATTTCTCTTCACCTCCTTCGCCGATTCCTGTAATCCCAATAAACAAACAAACAAAATCCAATTAAATTATATGTGATAATTGAATTAAAAAAAAAAGTTTTGAGAAAAATTTAAACTACAAATTAGTTACATCTTTAGGAGTTGGATCTGGGACTTGGTTCCAAAGCTGAACAGATCTAAGCCAGTCCGATTTCTCCGAATTACTATTATTATTGTTTTTATTAACATAATCATCACGATCATCATCAACATCGTTATCGGATTTATGAGATTGTTCCTCGTAATATTCTTCGTCGTCTTCCTGGGTGCTCTTCATCGGAATAAATTGTTCCAAAACCGGAGCGGCGCTAGTGGTCTGCTCCGAACACTCCGATTGGCCGTTGAGGTTATACTCCGTCGTCGTCCCCGACAATTCAACCGGGTTATACTATGTTTAATTCGGACCAGACTAGAAAAGACGATTTTGTCCCTCAGATTATAGACTAAATGTTGGATTAAGGCTTTCCGGTCAAATTTGGCCGGCAATTTGACCGGAGTGACCAAAATTGACAAAAATTACATACTCAAGGTACTAAATTGACACATTTAAAAGTTAAGTGCTGAAATTAACAAAACCCCTATAGTCATATGATTAAAATTGAAATTTTCTCTAATAACTTATACATTATGCGTATGTACATGTGTGTGTATATGTGTGTGTCTATATATATATATATATATATATATATATATATATATATATATATATATATATATATATATATATATACACACACACACACACACACACATGTACATACGAGGAAGCAGCTCGGACACGCGAGGGTACCTCGGCTAGTACGTGAAGAGGTCGGGGTAGAACCAGGGCCAGTGTACTAGCAACGTTTGGAAGAAGAAGGGGGGTTCCGACTCATCCTCATCGGGCCAACGCAAGAGGGAACTCGACCAGCTCACCGAGAGGGAAGAGAAAGAGTTAGACAACCCGCCAAAGAAGCAGACCATCCACATTATCTTTGGCGGACCAGAAGGAGGAGACACGCCAATCGAAAGAAAGAAATGGGCGCAGAGCCTGTACGTGGGGGAAGTCGTCCGATCGCCGCACGAGAAAAAAGACAAGAAGGGAGCCCATCACATTTACCGACGACGACCTCCCGGACGACCCGTTGCCACACCGAGACACATTGGTAATAAGGCTTGAGATCAAGGACATCATCGTCCATCAGGTGCTGGTGGACACCGAGAGCTCCGTGAACGTCATGTACCATGACACTTTCACGCAGCTGGGCTTATCTAGGAAGCAGCTCGGACACGCGAGGACCCCGCTATCAGGTTTCAACGGGGACTCTGTCGAAACGGAGGGTTTAATCACCCTCGAGGTCGAGGTCGGCACTCCGCCGCACGTCAAAAGGTGGGAGGTGGAGTTCGTGGTAGTGAATATCAGCTGCGCCTACAACATCATCCTTGTCCGACCTGCTTTGGAGGACCTCCGATGCATAATATCTATGGAACACTTATGCCTCAAATTTCCTACCCCCTCCGGAGTCGGCGTCGCTCCGGGAGACCAAAAGATAAGCTGGAGCTGCTACCTGAAAACTTGCCGCCAGATAAGCAAAAGATGTAACACCCCTAATTTTTAAAACATTTTAAAGCCTATGAAATAAAGACAAACTATCATTAATCATCCAAACAAAGCGGAACTAACAACATAAGTATCGGGGTATTATGCCACATCCAGGTTTGATAACCTAGATGCACAGGCGAGACTAACTAAACAAGGCATAAACTATAATTAATATCCACAATACAATTCAAGGCTCACAGGCCATCTAGATAATACTAAGCTAAATCCATGAGTCCATCTAACGCGCTCCGAAGCTACAAGACATCACCTGAAAAACATACAGTGTAATAACCTTCAGCGAATAATGCTGGTAACCCACTCCCACGCGTTAAGTACAATATAGGTAGATATAAGAAAATAATTTTGAAACCGGAATACATATATAACCTAAGCGACTCTAGCTTTAACCCAAGATAAAGACTCAAGACACAACAATAGACTTGACACTATAGAACAATCATAAAGACTAGCATGCATCCTAAGAACACAAGACATGGCGTAATAGACAAGCAAGCCCATAAATAGAAATTAAAGGCATTAAAGGGATCCAACGACAATCAAATAGCAAGTAACACATCAAGGGAGACATCTAAGTTCCAACCTTATACCAAGTTCCAACCTTACGCCTCTCCTTCCTTATATCAGTTCCAACCTGTACCTCCAGGCCACCCTTATATCGCCTCCCTTATTCCTCTGGAGCAACTACATGGCCCACTCCGTAACCACCAACAAGTACACCAACATGGTAGCACCGAAGTGTCATCCGCATGGTCCGTGCCTCTAGCACCACTACCAAGGGGTCAGCGCATATAGCTCTGACATGACATCGCGGCGCTTATACCCTGACCCAAGCCTTTAGCTAGCAAGTCTAAGGGGTGGTCCGTGCCTTTAACACGATAACCGAGCACTCGTTATGCTTTCCGCCAACAATTCATTTCTACCAATCACAATCTCATCATCATCAATCTCAACCATCATTGCGCAATGATCACGAATCCCATCATCATTCAATCAATCAACATATAATCAACAATAACAATCAAGGTATAATAGCAACGATACACACTACACATAAATTCCTAGAACGGTGCACGAAACATCATACGAGACTCATAAACATCAAACGGGGTACAACGGGGCACAACGGGACACGGGGAAACGTCAAACGGGGGAAAACAACCCGCCGCGCCACCACATTCTAGCGGGTGGGTAGCCGTGGTTCCAGCGGGTGCCCGGCGGGCAGACCACTGCCCGTCGGCTGCCCGCTGGAACTGGGCAAACCGGGCAGCGGGTAGGTGGTGGGGACTCGTTCCCCCCACCTACCCCCCACTGGTACGAAGGTAGGAAACCGGTTCGGTGTTAGTTCGTGGAACCCAAAACCATGTCCAAACATATTCCAACACGTAACAACAACAACACGGATTCAATTAACAAAGATTGAACCAAGAATCATTCCAATTACATCCTAGCACGATTCCTAAACATGCCAAGACTCGACATCAATCACATAACGGTTCGGGAGCATCCGGCACCCCAGGAATATCAAGAAATCTATATGCAAAGCCCTAAAGACAAGTCCTAGACTAGAATCAACACCCGAGCATGTATAAACCCACCCAAGAATCCAAGAACATCACAACACGAGATTCACGATATAAACCCTAGGGACAAGCTCTAGACATAATTAAATACAAGATCATATCAATAACCACACAGGTCATCAAGGACATCAAGAATAGCAATAACTCACCATCTAAACCTAAATACAAGCTCTAACAAGATATACATACAATCAATCATTCAATCGGAGCCAATCAATAATTAATAGCAAGGAAGATAGGTTTTGTAAGATATGGGTTACCTTAATCGCTTAGCAATCCAAGAACAACGTCAAAGGGACCTGTGAATTAAACTGAACCTTCACTCAATAATCGGGCTAATAAAATAACAAACCCCTAACGAATTCAAACCCTAGACTATCCCAAGATTGATCACACCCTTACCATTTAAGCTAGGCACCTCTTGTTAAACCATAGTCACTTATTAAACTAATAATCATTAAGTGGGACTCCTATTATCATACTTGCCTAGGAAACATACAAATTATAACCAAAAGGTAATGTAATTAAACATGCTAAAGGTAGAGTTCAAACACAGGAAGTTCATCTCACAATACCAATGCCCTAACCATCTCGCCACTGTAACTTCTTAATACAAATGCCAAGTTAATAATCTTACTAGGCTTAGCGTGCCACCACATCATCATCTTCATTCGTCTGATCCATCACCACCATTACAGTGACGGTTTCTAACACTACGCATGCTGAACGTTCCTAATCCCAAATATCCACTATTACGACAATAACAACACCTTACCTTCATCACCGCCGAACGCCTCCGCTACTGTTCAGCCGCTGCAGTCCAAAGCTTTCGTTGCCGTCGATGGAAGGGGTAGGACCAAGAGGTTCTAGTCGTTTTTCCACGTTCCCATCAGCTGTTTCACGTACGGGAGGAGGGGGTGGTGGTGCGGTGGTGTAGGCCGAGAGGGGAGAGAGCGAAGGGGGTTGCCAGTTCTCCCCGTACGTGCGTATTCGTATTGTATGTGTATCTATGTACCATACGTGTTAGGGTTAATGATATATATATATATATATATATATATAT